ACAATATAGACTGCACTTGGTTGTAATGACTTCGGTTGCTATTTAATATCTTAGCATCTTTGTTTTGATTGTGTTGCCTCAGCTATTGTGAAGCAATAACCATTTTCCACGTGGTTGTACATGATTTGTAAATATTCTTGATGGAGATTCATATGTTGGTAGATAGTGAAAATGTTTTACTGGCATGTTCTGTTCGATTAGGTGACTGTTAATTAGATTTCACAAACGGTTGCCATGTACCGTATTCATTGTTGTATTTTTTTCTTTTCATAGTCAAACTATTATTCTAGACAAATGAAATTTCAAGTATCGAGAAATGCAGGTATTTAATATCGAGAACTACACGTCAAATGTCAAGATTCTAATGAAATGTTGAGAAATAATATAGTTCGGTTGAAATGTCGTTCTATACAAATGTAACGTCGAGTGTCGAGATTGACAAACATTTGATGTCGAGAACTACATGTCAAATGTTAAGAAATGAATGAAATGTCGAGAAATATCTTACTTCAATATAAACGTTAGCGCCACATGTATTTTTTTTAGAACATAAAAATTCGCTACTCATTAATTCAATTAGCTTCAATAATATGTGAACATTTATGAACATGTGTGTAATTATGTATGTGAAATTAATTTAAAGAATTAAAAGAAAATATAAATTATGTATTTTAAAGCCCTTACCAATAACAATAGATGAAAAAATATTTCATTCCTTATCCTACTCAAACTTTTGCCAAGATGCAAGGAAAATTTGATTAACTCGGTTAGCTTTAATAAATTTTAAAAATTTGTGAAACCTTTTTTTATCGGTAAATGTAAAAATTTATTGATAAGAACTTCAGTAAAAGTTACTGGACAAGATAAATAGAGATTCATATAAATATTGATGAAGTTTGAACTAAAAAAAGTATTATTTATATCATAAAACGAAAAGAATTAGAAATAATTTTAAATCGAAAAAAATTTATTTACAATATGAACAAAAAAGAAATTTTAAAACAATTTTATAAAACGTATAATAAATTAACCAAAAGAAAATTACGGAAATTAAATAAAGAACATATAAATAATATTTAATTGAAATTGAAAAAAGTAAATTATCATAAAGAGAAAAGAATAAAAAATTATTAATTGAAAAAAAAATTATTTTTGATATAAACAAAAATAAATAAATAAATAAGAAATAGAGTTAACACAGAGAGATTTCTCTGTGTTATGGAGCATAACACTCTGAAATTTTCTCCATAACACGGAGACGTTATGGAGAAGATTTTCTCTCTTCCTATTTTAATTTTTTTAATTTGTTTTGCTTGTATTATAATTTTTTTGGATTAATTTTTTTTTAATTCTTTTCTCTTTATGATAAAACTTAAGGGGTTGTTCTCTTTGTATTTCAATTTTTTAATTTTGAGTTTTGTATTTTGAGTGTCTATTTTGAAATTATTGAAAATATGTTATTTTTATCATTCTGAAAAACTATTTTGCTAAACATAAAATTGAAAAACGAGTTTACATTGAAATCTTGAAAGTATTTTATTCAAGAGACCTGATTATTCAATAAATTTTAATAGCTTAATGTTAATATAGTATTAAATAACATATAAATTTTAAAGTTAGTAAAAAAAAAAAAAAGGATATGAATTTTTTCGTGTCTCCATCACACAGAGTTGTGATGGAGAGATTTCTCATTTGCAAATAGTTTTTGTGATGGAGAGATTGTCTTTCCGTCACACACAGAGTTTAATTTCTTTCCTTTTTTTCCTCTTGTTTTTAATTTTGACTGTTTTCCGTATTTTCAATTTTTCCTGTATTTTGTATTGGAAATATTCAAAACGTCAAATATGACGTTTACAGTTTTCAGTACATTTTTTTTTGTTTTCAAACATTCATTTTCGAAAATGAGAAAGAGAACGCGTTTCACTGTTTTAAAAAATTGAAAATAGGAAAACTACATGAAAATAGCGAAGAAAACTAATTTTTTCAATTTTAATTAATAATATTTATATATTATTTATTTAATTTTCTTAACTTTCTTTTGTTTAATTTGTTTTACTTTTATTATTATTTTTTAAATGTCAAGAAATGTACAGAACTCTAGGATTAAATGAAATCTCGAGAATAGATATATAAAATGTCAACTGTCGAGTTATATAGTTTATAAACATCGATAAAGACATTTCAAATGTCGAGAACATGATGAAATATTAAGAAATACATGAAATATCGAGATAAACACGGTCAAAATGTGGGAGTTGGTTTGAGTTCTTTTAATGCAATTACACCTTTAACTATGCTTTACACTCATATTCAATATCACGTCGAACAACAACTGATGTTGTTCCGTTGCCTAACCACTTCCACTCGTCGTCAATACTGACGAATATACCACCGTAGGAGACAACAAATCTTATAACATCAACCATAGCTATGTCGTAAACAAAAAATAGTATCAGCTAATAACGAATACTTCAAACGAATATGCTAATTATCCGCAAGCAATATACAAAAAATGTTCCATAATTTCATCATGGTACCTGTAATGTTACTATCGACATTATCAAATGTAGAGATTGACGTTAAAAGTAACATTCTTGACGTTTGTAATTGTCGAGAACAATATTTCAAGTATCATTCTCGACGTTCGTAAAATGTCAAGAGTGACATGACAGATTCCACTTCACCATATGTATTTATCATCTTCTTCATCTTCAACTACCATTTTTATAAATAATTTAAATTTATACTATCATTAATGACATTTTAATTACAGAAGTACTTTAAATTATTATCTAACTAAGTAATGTAAGAAGGTTATGACAAATATCTACTACTTGTTTGGACAATCTACCACATTGAAATCAAATATATAACAACTACTGTACACCACTTCTCAATAAACATCAAATATCAAAGGAAAATACCTTCTGGCCAGAAATGAGAAGAGCCTAATTAACTTCAAATTCCGATGACATTAAATTTATAAACATGAAAAAATTATTTCTTCTTTTGAAGTAAAAATCATAGATTTCTTTTGGCTGTCAATGCTTGCTATTTCACGTTCTTCAATTTTTCTAAAATAATTTGTTAACATCTAAAAAAAAATACAGACAAGTGGACAAGCATAGGTAATAGCAACAATTATCGTGGCTTTTCGTGAAAGTCATTGCTCTTCTCAAGATCGGTGTCAATTTGCAAAAGAAAAGTTGAGAATTATTTATTCTTTCAATAAGGGTAAAATAGAGAATTTAAGGGTCCGTTTGATTGCAAAGGTGGAATTTGGGTGGAAAAAAATGAATTCCAAGGAATTGAATTGATGAGAAATTATTTTCCTGCGAATTGTAAATTATTGTGTTTGATTGATATAATTTTTCACGTGAAAAATATTGAAATAAAAGTATTTTTTGGTGTTCATTTGACTTTATTTTACATAAAAATTGTCAATTAAAGGTATAGAATTTACTGGTATTGGGGATGAAATTTGTTTCCATTGCAAAAAAATTTAAAAATAAAAAATTCTAAAAATATCTATATTTTGATGTTCGTTTGACTTTGTTTTACTTGAAAATTGTCAATTAAAGGGAAATATTTTTTTATAATAATTTTTAGAATTTGTTAAATTTGCCAACAAAAAAAAAAAAAAGAAAAAAAATTACATATTTGCTACAGTAATCAGGAAAATCAATTCCCACCAACTAAAAAGCTAGAAAATTCCAAGGTCCAAGAAAAAATGGAACTTCAATTCCATGAAAAAAACCATATCAAACATTTGAAAGTCGGAAAATGAAATCCATTTTCCATGGAAAAGATTTGCCAATCAAACATGGCTTAATATCAAATTTGACCATTTTTGTAAAAGTTATCAAAAGTAGATATTCTTAAATTGACATATATGAAAGGGAAAATTCCAGCAGCGATACCAAACCTATCGTTTATTAGCAGACTTTACCCAAACCTTTAGTTTGTGCCAACGTGAGTACCAAATCTTTAAAAAACTTGCACTCGAAGTCCAAATGGATGATTTCTGTTAATTTGACTATTGGTTGACCCAATAAATTGACTTTGACCAATTTTAGAAAGGGTAAAATTGTAACTTTGAATTAAACTTAAAAAAAAAAAAAAGAAAAACGAAAAATTAAAAGCATATAACTGATCATCTTTTCTTTTCTTTTCCACCCCCACCTCCACCCGCACTCCCCATACGATACCACTGTGGAGACACGGCAAGGCTGAAATCCCCGATGGTAACTAAACATTTGCAAACTTTACCTGCATCGAAGGTGAGCTAGTTCTTCCTACTGTTGTGGCCATCCATACTGCTGGTTCTTCCTACTGTTGCGATTTTTCCTACGGTTGCGGTTCTTAAAATTTACAATCTCGAGTTACTGTTGTGGCCATCCATACAGCAGGTTTCGGTTACTGTCCGCAGCATTCGAGCCACAGCTAACAACTCCATATTATCCACTCAGGGGATAATTTGGAGCTCCATATCCACCAGCAGCTCCTTGCAGACCATTTGAAGCACCTGGATATGGTGCTCCTCGACCTTGAGGTGAATACTATCCACTATTATAATCCCCAGTTTGTCCCCTACGATCTTGATAATACTCACTCGGGTGGGTTTTGTTTTGGAGTGAGGTAGGGTTAGGGTTAGGGTTAGGGTGGGGGTGGGAAAGAGAAGAAGAACAGTTATATGCTTTTAATTTTTTGTTTTTTGTTTTTCTTGTTTTTTAATTTTTAAGTTTAATTCAAAGTCACAATTTTACCCATTCTAAAATTGGTTAAAGTCAATTTATTGGGTCAACTAACGGTCAAACTAATAGAAATTATTCATTTGGACTTCAGATGCAAGTTTTTTAAATACAATGGTACAAATTAAAAATTTGAGCAAAATCTAATAATAAACGATAAATTTGATACTGCTGCTGCAATTTTCCCTATATCAAATTAGACATTTTTGCAAATACCTTTTTACTTTTCACTTTAACATTCCCCTTAACGCTCACTTCGCCACTCAGTCTCTCTCTCTCCTCTCTCTCTCTCTCTCAATGCGAGGTAAGTATGGTACTGTAGTCCTCTGTGGCTCTGTAAATACCAAAAGCTCCTAACCTAACTTAAAAAATCGAAAAAAATTTTAAAAAAAATTGAGAAATCAAAATGGCGTCTGCTAAGGGCAAGGAGAAGGTGACGGATGGAGGTAAGGGGAAAAGGAAATGGAGCGGTGCAGGTGGAGGAGACAACGACAAGACGGGACAGAAGCGAAAGAATCGCGGTGTGGTCCAGTTCTTCGACGATCGGGCGTACGAGGTCGGCGAGGACGATGACGAGGACTCTAGCGACGATTCCATGCTTGATTATGGTAATTAGGGTTTTCTTTCCTATTTACTTTTTTATTCACTTTGGGTTTATTTGCTTAAATATTTGAGGGTGGAATAGTATTTGTGCTTATAAATCCATTTGGGGGTGTGTTGGGGTGGGTATGTTGGGTACTACATTCGTCATTGAGTGATTAAGTTGTTTTTTAGGGGTAAATAAACGGAAATTTTATGATGTTTTGATTTTTGTTGCGTTTTCAGAGGTTTTTGTTTATTGTTTTTCATTTTTGTATGTTATAACTTTGGGATTATTTGATTAAATATTTAAAGGTGGATGAATGATTTCTGTAAATAAACCCAAATTTTGTTGTTCTTTTTTTTTTTTTTTTTAATGAATTTCTGCACGAAGGTTTAGAGGATTTACATGCATCTATATACTTATTTTTTGGTTATAAATTCAAATTTTATTTTATTTTATTTTTCCAATTGTAGTTACGCACATGTCGTTATAAAAGTACCCACTGACGTTCTGAATCTTTTGTCCCCGCTTTCAAAATTTAAATTCGACTTTTTCCACCTTCATGGGTCTAGTGTTTATGCTTCATGTCTATTTTAATTTTTAAGTGTTTCTTTCATTTTTCTGATGTGAATAAACTTTATATTTGTGGTATCATTCTGTCTGTGTTGTTAGTTTTCTGTTTTACTTAATGGTTTGATTCTAAGAGGAATTTCATTTTTTAGAACAAATCGTCTCCTTAAGTTACCTGTGTTTGTTGCCTCTCATTGCTTGTTTATTTAGTTTTTAATTTTATGTTCACCTACGATTATTTTTCCATTCTCATCTTTGCATTTTGAATGTCTTGGTTAAATATCCACCTTTAAAAAGGAATTGATGGTTTTTCGTTATTTCCATAATTTCACTTTGTAAAGTCAATGACCTCTTGGAAGGAAAAAATCTTAGTTCTTCTGCATTAACAATTTTGTTCTGATTTTTATATACTGCACTGTCTAAAGATCTAGAGATACATTTTCAATGTAGTGTTAATGATACCTAATACATTTTAAAGTAGGGTTTCTGTTGATTTTACTTGATATGCAGTATTTTTTGTAGGTAACTTTTAAATCAGTAATTAACTTTTTTCTCCAACTGGATCAGATTACGAGGAAGAAGAATTTGCCATTGAAGGCGAAGTCAAGAATGAACCTGGCAAACCTCCTCAATATCCTTGTTTTCCCAAGGAGGAGGAGATGAGCGAGGAAGAGCTTGAAAGAATGCTGGAGGAGCGATATAAGACAGGATCTACTTTTGTTACATATGCAGAAGATGGCTATGAACATAAAAGATCAACAGATAGGGACATATATCTGCCATCTGCCAAGGACCCGACAATCTGGAAAGTCAAATGCATGGTGTGTTTTCTAAACTTCTGGATTATTTTTCTGTGCGGCTTCAGAATCTTGTTGCTGTGCCAAAATTCTATGAATTTTTTGTTCCTGAGCAAGTTTCTGTCTTAGGTTGGTCGTGAGAGGCATTCAGCTTTCTGCCTGATGCAAAAATTTGCGGACTTGAATTATTTGGGTACTAAGCTTCAGATAATATCCGCAATTGCAGTTGACCATGTGAAGGGTTTTATTTATATTGAAGCTGACAAGCAGTATGATATTAATGAGGTATTTATCTTGCTCGTCTGTAGAATCATTTTTTTTAATTTAGGTGGTAATTATTTTATTTCAGTTCTTGGTCATCCGGTGGTTCCTTCTGCTAATAAAGTATATGTTAACCTTATAATTTATGAATACAGGCATGTAAAGGACTTTGCACTGTTTATCCAAGCCGAGTTGCCCGAGTTCCGCCCAACGAAATCCATCATTTGCTCTCCGTCAGGAGCAAGCCCAATGCAATATCTGAGGGCATGTGGGCCCGTGTAAAGAATGGAAAATATAAGGGTGATCTTGCACAGGTATAATCTTACTCATGTATCAAAATATTAGTCATAATCCATATTTATTTTTTGTACATTTTCACTTCGCTAATCAATTGCTTTGAGGTTTTTTTCTTTGGCAAAGAACCTATTAGCTTATCTTTGTTAACTGTTTCAATTATGCTCGTACTTCTAGGTTGTAGCTGTGAATGATGCAAGGAAGAAAGTTACTGTAAAGCTGATTCCAAGGATAGACTTGCGAGCGATGGCAGAAAAATTTGTAAGATGATTTATACCCAACTTGCTTTTAATGTGAATATAAATATATTAAATCTCTCCTTGAAACATATGCGGGTTATATATATTTTGAGCAGGAAATTCTTTAAGTATGAGGTAAACCTTAAAATCAAAGCGAAGTACAGAAATAAAATGAAATGTGATTATAGTTTTCAGCATGTTTATGAAGAGAACCTTTTTACACACGCAGTTTGGCACAATAATCACGGTTTTTTTTCCCATTTCTTTTAGAATAGTTTCTTTGGAATCGATTGTGCTTGTGGTTTAGCTGTAGTTTTCATGGTGATGCTCTGTTTAAATGCTCTTACCCCTTTATTCGTTCACAAGTTCCTACGCATTTTTCCTTGATCCAAATCATTTATTATGCAATTCAAATATATTATCGAGATATTTATGTCTGCTTTTTAAACAAAATATGTCAAGGATTTCCTCTAACAACAGCTACCTTAGTTACTAGTTTTGATGTTGCTTCTGATTTCTAATAAATTTTTTATTGATTCATGTTTTATATTTTTTTTACAGGGCGGTGGAGTTCCTGCTAAAAGGACAGCCATCCCAGCAGCACGACTGATCAGCTCTAGCGAGCTTGAGTAACTTGCATTCTCCCATTTGTTATTTTCCGTCTCCCGTTCGTTATTTTTAATTTCATGGTTCTGTTGCTCATTATATGTATTCATGTTAAACTTGTAGGGAGTTCCGTCCTCTCATTCAATACCGTAGGGATCGTGACACTAACCAGATGTTTGAGATTCTTGACGGGATGTTGCTGAAGGATGGTTATTTATACAAAAAAGTGTCTATTGACTCACTGAGTTTGTGGGGTGTAATGCCCACTGATGATGAACTCCTGAAGTTTGAGCCTTCAAAAAATGATGAATCTAATGATGGACAGTGGCTTTCCCAACTTTTTGGCGAACAAAAGAAGAAGCATGTTCAGGCCATAAAGAAGGACAAAGGGGGTGGTAAAGAAGGTGGTAAAGAAGGTGGCTCTTGTAGCTCTACAATGGAAAATAATTTTGAAATGCATGATCTAGTCTTCTTTGGGTAAGCCTTTATTTGTCATGATATTTTGGGATGAAGACAACTCAAATCTGACATGCTTTGTTCGTCTAATTTGCACGCAGTCGGAAGGATTTTGGTGTTGTCATTGGCACAGAGAAGGATGACAGTGTAAAGGTATAAACACCTCATAATTAATAATCTTCATTCCTGTGTTATGTCAAATCATTTCCTTCGATTGATCATCTTTTGGTAATAGGTCATTAAAGAAGGCTCAGAAGGACCATCAGTTGTAACTGTCAAACAGCGTGAGCTAAAGAGTGCGTCTTTTGACAAAAAATTGTTCACCGTTTTGGATCAACATTCAAAAACCATATCAATTAATGACGTAGTCAGGGTTTTGGATGGTCCATTGAAGGTCCGCTTGTAAATTTATATTAGAAGCTTCTAGTAATTATATATCTTCGTTTTTTGAAGCTAATGCGCACAGGTATATTGACATTGCAGGATAAACAAGGATCTGTTAAAAAAATCTACAAAGGGATACTATTTTTGTGTGATGAAAGTGAACAGGAGCATAATGGCTATATCTGTGTTAAAGCACAGTTATGTGAGAAAATAAATATTTCTGGTGATGCATCTAAGGAGAAGGTTTGTATGTTTGGGACCAGAAGAACATGAGTTTTTTCCTTTCTCAACTGACCTTATATTATTTTCTGAAACAGTTTTAAACGGTTTTGTCCAAATCTAACTTATAGTTGCATTTCTTAATTTGCATCAGGGTAGCGAGGCAGGTGGTCCTTCAGGATTTGAGGATTTGCCATCATCGCCTAAATCCCCCCCGTCTCCTAAAAATTCTTGGCAAGAGAGGGATAATAAAGACAACTGTATGTTTTTGAGTTCGCATTGTATCTATTCAATAGATGTGCTATTAAAGTTCTAACTTCATTTACCCTGTTTAATGTGTTATTGTAACTGCAGGTAATCGTGAAGATAGCGGAATGTTCTCTGTTGGTCAGTTATTAAGAATCCGACTGGGCCCTTTAAAGGGATACCTTTGTCGGGTGTTAGCTGTTCGTCGTTCTGAGGTCACAGTAAAGCTGGATTCTCAGCACAAAATTCTAACAGGTTTGATGGATAAAACCTGATCCTCTTTTGGCGTTGCATGACTGGTTAAATATTCTGATGTGTTCTTGTAGTGAAATGTGAGCATCTGTCTGAGGTTCGTGGAAGAAATCCTGTCATATCTCAGGGGTAAGTGAAGATACTATTACAAACTTATATTTTTCTCCTGAAAATTTGTTGTTCTATATAGTCATGATAGTTTCTGACTCACCCTGATCTCCTCGCCATTTACATATTTCTTCAGGGAGAGCTTGCAAGACGCTTCTACAGGTAGGAATCTGACGTATGGTTTTGAATTACTTTTCTTGTCTTCCTTTTCTTTTCTTTTAATAATAATATCTTTCCCACCCACCCTTGGTTTATTTGTTCTTTGCATTTAAATGCTTATTTACCTTGAAGATTGGAAGGATGGGACAGCTTTGTCAACAGATGGTGAAAATTGGAATGCAGGAGGATTATCTACAGACAGGTTTTACTTGTTCTGATGCCCCTTTTTAATTTATTTTCAATCTTACCATCTTTATGCGCATATAGTTATTTATTTTTTTGGCGGTTGAGGATATGTGTTTTGTTGGTATTGTATTTCTGACAAGCATGTAAATATAGGGCTTGTTTGAGCCCCATTTTCTTTTATGAATGTATTTTGAAATGGTAGATTGATGGAGAATGCGCGGTTAAAAAATAATTAAAATTTTTGGTTTGCGTAAATGTGTGGTTGAAAAGAAGAGAGAGAAAAATGTATTTTGGAAATAATGTGGATCAAACAAGTACATAGAGTTCAAATTTTCATTTTGGGACATTTACTTTTCTCAGCTTTCATTAGAAATTGTAACTTGTGTTTCATGATTATGACAACATTTTCAGCTAAAAAAAAAGAGAATAAATAACCGACTTTATGGTGACTTGATGGTCAGAAATGGACATTCACTTGATATGATGTTTGTTATGTTTCTTTCATGACTGTACACCATAGATCAAATTATTACTGAGAAGGATCCATCTGTTTTCACTCACTCCATTCTGACAGGAAATGAGTGAACAACACTTACAAGGAAATTATAGAAAGAGTTCTATTATTTATTTTAATTTTTTATTCAGGAAGGTCTCGTTAAATGTACTAATTGAAAGGGAATATAAAACATCTATAATAAAATTTTTACGTTGCTTTGGAATGTAAGTTTATCCAGAAAACACTACTGATGCTTGCCTTTTAAATTATTGCTTTCTCACTGATGTATGATGTACAAGTCTGTTCATCTACTGCCTTCTGTAGTTTTCTACGTTCAACCTGTAATGCCAGCCTTTATTTGCAGGACTTCTTGGTCTGCTTTCCCATCAAGCTTACCGGTTAGCTACAATGCTCTTCCTTCTTTTTTATTATGGCGTTGCATATATTTTGGTCCCTCACTTGACAATTTTGACAAGCTTTTAAATATTTGCAGCTTCACCAGGAATCTGATCCCGTTGGTGCATCTAATCCTGTGGATGATAATGCCCAAAAAGGTAGGCAAGGAGATGTCTTTTTTCAATTTACGTTGCTAGTATGTACCGAATTCTCTTTAGTTTGAAGTTGCTGATTGTGAGAGTTCTGTGTAGTACCACGTATTCAAGATGCACAGTTTCTGGGTCTATGGCTTTCTGTATCTCTAACACATCATCTAAAAAATCAGACGTTCATTTATAGTTGCTTCATTTTTTTTTTTTTTTTTTTGCTTGCTGCCTTCATTGTCAAAACTCAAAATGATGTACTAACTGTAATTGGTTTAGGATGCCTAGTCAATAAAATGAATACAAACTTGCACTATATATGTAAAATCATTATAATTATGTGTTGCATCCTACAGGCTGCTCTAGAACTTCCAATCTTGTTTTTGTATGATTATCTTGATAGAGCTAACCTTTTTAGTTCTTTTGCTTGATAAAGCGCGGCTGAGCTTATTTTTATTTTTTATTTGTTTTTATCATAGCTGTTTATTATCACTGAGCTTCTTTGTTTCCTTAATTTATGAACCTACTGAAAAGTTTATTCATGTTTCCTGTGTAAGTAGAAGATTTATCTAAGTTGTTGCTTACTTTTATTGCATTATGACGAAGGCACTGAAGGTTCTGCTTGGGAGATTAAAGCAACTCCAAATCAGAATTCATCGTGGGGTGCTGCCACAGCTGATGAGAAAATGGTTGCCAACACCGGATCAGTTGGTAGCTGGGGAGCAAGTAGAGATGATACGGGTGGAAGCAAGGAATCTTGGAATAAAACTGGAGCTTCATCAGAGAATGAGACTGGGGGATGGGGTAATGCAGGTGGAAATTTAGATATACCAGAAGCAAGTGCCTGGAAGAAAGATACAGGAGCAAACACCTGGAAGGATGCTGCTGGTTCAAATGAAGGTCAGAATGAAAACTGGGGCAACATTAAAAAAGATGGTGGTGTAGCCGTTTGGGGAAAGGGTGGGTCTAGTTCAGACAAAGCTGTGGAGTCCCAACCTGAAGGCACTATGGAAAATCAAGAGCAGTCGTGGGGCAAGGCTAGTTCAGCTGGTCAGACTGATTCCTGGAGTAAACCAAAGACTGTTGGTGCTGATGGTGGAACTTCGTGGAATAATCAGGATAGTAAATCTTGGGCTAAAGAGGACACTTCTTCGCTGAGTAAGCAAGATGGGGGATCCTCATGGAGCAAGCAGGATGGAGGATCTAATGGGAATAAACAGGATGATGGAGATTCTTGGTACAAAAAGGATAGTGAATCTTCTTTGGGCAACGGAGGCGGTGGTGGTGCTTGGAGGAAGCAGGATGGTGGATCTTCTTGGAACAAAAAGGATGGTGAATCCTCCTGGAGTAAACAAGTTGGACAGTCTAGTTGGGGTCAGAAAACTGATGGTAATGTGGAAGATCAATCGAAAGGTAGGTCAGATCAAAAGGACAATTGGGAGAACTCCAAAGGAGGATTTGGTGGTTGGAAGAATGGTGGGATGGGAAATAGAAATGCAGATCAAGATGGCAGTTGGGGAAAGGATAAATCATTTGACAAGGGCCATGGTTCAGGTGGAAGAGGAGGAAGAGGTCAATATGGTAGAGGAAGATCTTTTGATCAGGGTCAATCGACTAGTTGGAACAAGGAAGATCAACACAATCGAGGTTCAGGTAATGATTTTTTTGCAGGGAATCGTTCCAGTTGGAGCAATGTTCAAGGAAGCAGTTGGGATAAAAATGTGTCTGCTGACGGAAATAAGAAAGACGGTTGGGAAGAAAAAAATGTTTCTGGCAAAGACAAAGAATCAGGATGGAAGAAAGAATGGCATGCCAATAAAGAGACTGGTGAAAGTGGGGATAAATTGGATAGTGCTAAACCTGATTGGGACAACAAATCCAGTGGCTGGGCCTGCTCAAAAGTTTCCAACTATGTCCAGTCATCAGGTTGGAATGTATCATCAACTGCAAATGAAGATGCTGGTAATGATGAAGGTAGTTGGGCGAAAGGAAAATTACCAGATGATAAAAACAAGGCTTCCTGGAACACTGGAAACACCTCGAATGAGAACCAGGTTTCTGATTGGGGTAAAAATAATAACGGGGTCTCTCAGAAACCTTCTGATAGCAATACCTCTGGTTGGAATAATACCTCAGGCTCATCTGCTGGATGGGGTCAAAGTAATTGGTCTGGACGTGGAACAGATGATACTGGTGGGAACCAGGACAATGCATGGAGCAGCAAAAGCAACTGGAATTCAGGAAATGGTTTTGGAGGGAATGATGGTCAAAATGATACAGGTACTGGCAGTAGGGGAAGAAATGGAAGTTGGAGGGGAGGTAGGGAGGGGAGAGGTGACCGCGGTGGCTTCCGGGGTAGAGGGAGATCAGATCGTGGCGGCTATGGAGGTAGGGGAATGGGCAGGGGAGGCTTTGGAGGGAGAGATGGACCTGACAGGGAAGGAGGATTTCGTGGAAGGGGGGGTGGTTTTAGAGGCAGAGGGCGTAGTGATTGGAATAACAGAAATGATTCTGGTGATGACAGGATGCACGACTGGAAAAAAGGTTCAAACGATAATAGTGAAGGATGGAAAAGTAGCAGCGGTGGAGGCAGTTCATTTCAGGGAGGAAGTTGGAGTTCTGGTTGGAATCAATCAAAAGGGAATGCAGATGGTGCAGGTAACACACAAGCTGGTGGAGGATGGAACAATTCAGCGGACACTAAAATTTATGGTCAAAGCAGTGCTGGAGGCAGTGACTGGAAAACATCAAATGCTTCTGCTGGCAATGTATCTACTGGGTGGGGCAAACCATCTGGTCAGAGGGATACAGCTGGTTGGAATAAAGAATCGGCTTCAGGAAACCATAGCTCGTCTGGGAAATGGAAATCTGATGCTACAGATGGGGGCTCATCTAAAGAATCTAACAAAGTTGAACGACCTGTCAGTAGTTCATGGGGTGAATCTGCAGGAAGCTCCTGGGGAGCTGCTGCTGGAGCTAAAAATTCATTTGGTGATCAGGACAAATCAGAAGCAACTGATGGCTGGAAAACTAAAGAATCCAATAAAGTTGAAGGATCATCAGGTTCCAGGGACAATGAAGAGAATGAAGGAGGGTGGTCTGCTTTCTAAAGGTAATTACTAAGACTACAATATTTTTTTACTGTTCATAAAGCTTACGACACTGATCTGCTTTACCTTTTGTTGGATGGCATGCTGGTTTTGACAGTATCCCTTTGAGAGGGAGAAAATTAATCTGCTATTGCCTGATCATTGAAAAATGCATTTGGCTTGTTTTACACCTTGAAATGTGGGTTTGCATCTTCTGTATACTAATGATCTTTTAGTGGGTAGAAATTGGTGTGTACTTTGAACATGTCAATTTTTTTGCTGCAGTTCAATCCTTGTGGTTGGGGTACTACCTATTATGGTTATCCAGGATATTCTCATCATCAGGCATAATTGAACTTGCACATTTTGCCTCATTTAAAGAGCCGTCTTTTGTATGTATTGTGCATGTATAAGACCTTTGTTTACGGATAAGAACTGTCATGACATAATTTGTTTCAGGTATAGCATGCTGCTGATGTATATGGTTATGCATGTTTTAATTTGATCATCTACGTACTGCCATCATTTGAAGTTCCAGTATCTGAAGTTTAAGCTAAAACCTATTGAACACTTGATGCTAAATCTGAAATAGATTCCTAACCCCATCAATTATAGGGAGTGTCAGTTTTTGGCTTTAAGAGTAAAATTTATATATTTGATCGAACCATTTGTACCGTACTCGAGATAATTTGATTTGTTGGCAAATTAGAAAGTAGAGAGAGCTTTGTTTGCTGTCCAAGCCTGTATTCTTTTTCTATCTCGGACATCTAGCAGTATTATCTGCTTTTTAAACTGTATCCCATTTTACTGCAGGTATATATGCCGGGAAATAGAGTATTTTGCATTGCTGGACATATGGCGGTTGTTGGCTTTCTTAGTTCTCTCTCTTTATCTTAAGCATTTTGTGGCTGCAAATATTTTCACTTTAATCTGCTTTATAAATACCTGGACAGCCTTACTGTCGTTATGGATGTTAAATTTGGAAGAATTAAGCTTTTACTTAAGTATCGATTTTAAGTGAATATTTATGCATGATAATGTATGCACGGGGTTTTTCACTGCCCAGCTTTTCCAATATATTTTCTGTTTCTGTGATTGGATCTCTCTTTGGTATGCTGGATTCGACAGTACTGATAAATAATACATCAAACATGCTGTGAATGTTTTCGAATTCTCCCTATTGATGCTCCTATCATTTGAAGTGGGTCAATGCAGAAAATACTTTAATGCAATGTAAATTCCTTGGGGTAGTTTCATGAGCTTGCTAATTGGCCTAAGGACTAGCTATTACCAAGCAGTGGTTTAAGTTATGATACAGTTGCTCGAGATTTGTACAATTGAGAAACATCTTGTAATGTTTTTATGCCCTGGACATGCCGTTCTTATACAAGTTTGTTTGCAAGAATACCATTATTTCGAAAATGGCAAAAACGTGTTGATTCACATCTCTTCATATAGACCTTGTTTGGTTCAACTAAAATTTAGATGAAGTCAAAGTCAATAATTAATTTTAACTACTCATTTTATTGGACCTAAAATTTTTCAATGGGTAATTAGCACAAAACATTCCTACCTTTCGATGTTTTTGTGGAAAAAGTCCATACCTTTCATTTTTTTGTGGATTACACCCTTACCTTTACATTTTTTTGCGCAAAACGTCCTTCTGTCAACTCTCCGTTAAAATGCTCCGTTAAATAAAAAAGGTAATTAGCATAAAAGGTCTCTACCTTTCAAAGTTATTGTGCAAAACATCCCTACCTTTTATTTTTTAGCATAATTAGCAGAAAAGGTTCCTACCTTTCAATATTGTTGTGCAAAACGTCCCTACTTTCATTTTTAGCATTTTTACCCCTACATTTCACCTTTCATTGTGCAAAATGTCCTTTTCATCCATTTTTTTAATAAAATGACGATTTTACCCTCCTATTGAAATAAAACAAAAAGAAAAGAAAAAAATAATTAATTAATTGCAATCATAGTTCTAAATCTTTCAAAACATTACAGATAAATCATAAATTCTCCACTACCGCCACTTTCACAACCCCACCAAGCCACCACCTATAGATCCATATAGCACCACTTTTCGACTACAACACATAGGACTCCACCACCACCAGCGTCGCCTCACTCTCCCCAATATCCTCCTCCATAGTATTGATCACCAATCTGTCCGAAACAACCACGTTTACGGTGGTGGAGTCCGGTGGGCATGGTGGCCGAAATGTGGTATTATGTGGATTTATAGTTGGCAGCTTGATAGGTTGTGAAAATGGTGGTGGTTGAGAATTTATGATTTTTTGTAATTTTTTAAAAATTTAAGGATTATGGTTGAAGTTGGTAATTCATCTTTTCTTTTTGTTTTATTTGAATGGGAGGGTAAAATCGTCATTTTATTGAAAAAATGGATGAGAATGACCTTTTTTGCAATGAAAAGTGAAAGGTAGGGGTGAAAATGCTAAAAATGAAAGATATGGACGTTTTGCACAATAATATCGAAAGGTAGGGACCTTTTCTGCTAATTATGCTAAAAAATAAAAGGTAGGGACGTTTTGCACAATAATTTTGAAAGGTAGGGACCTTTTGTGCTAATTACCTTTTTTATTTAACGGAACATTTTAACGGAAAGTTGACAGAAGGACGTTTTGCGCAAAAAAATGTAAAGGTAAGGGTGTAATCAACCAAAAAATGAAAGGTAGGGACTTTTTCCACAAAAACATCGAAAGGTAGGGATGTTTTGTGCTAATTACCCTTTTTCAATTATATATTTAATTGATTTTTGCCTAAGCCAAATGGGGCATATATTCCGTCTTACTCAAATATTGAGTACTGGTATGGTAAGAGTTTTGAGCTCGGAAGTATTCAAAATTCTAATTTTTGACGTTAATAGTGGCGAAGCCAGCACCTTGGCAAGCTGGTGCTGTTGCTCGTGCTGGCTCTGTCGGAGTCGTTGAAGGTGGCAGCACTGTAGAGACTAGGGTGCAAACTGTGAAGGCAGCAGGGTGAAGAAGATGAAGTCTGGTTAATGGTTTGGGCAACTTTACCCTTTTTTTAATTGTGCTTTCATTTTGGGCCTTAAAAAGAAAAAAGGATTTAGGCCTAAAATTCAAATACCCATTAGATTAATAGATGGCAAAAAAACTTGTTTCACCCCAAATGGGGGGGCCAAAAAAATTCACCCCAATGGGGGTAGTGGGGGTGGGGCTGCCCCACTTCGAACCAGTGCCGTGAAGAAAAAGAAAAAAATTTGTTAGTTTAAGTATTATTTGCTTTGAATTTTAAAATTTTTGAATTTGTATTTTATTATCTAATAATAGCATAAATCGAAATTTTGAAATTTATTTATTTATTTTTTTTAAGGCAGCAAACATGGCAAGCTCTTGCCCCGCCCCGAACGCGATCCATTGTTATCCCTAATTAGATTTGGGGCTTGTGGTTGTAGAGTATGGAATGTGAATCACTCATGACATCAATTTCCAAAATTTCAAGCCTCTTTTATCTGTTGCGTCTAAACCATGGTCTCGTGGACGTCGAACTGGTCTGAATCTATAATTGTGAGTCATATTGGCTGACGATCCCTATCTGTGACTTGGAAGTCCCTATTCTTTGTTTTTATTTTTTTATTTTGTTCACATTGATGGCTTGATGGTTTAGTTAATTTTGAAGCTTTAATTTGATTGGTGATTTAGTACGTGAATTGTGATGATTTAGAATTTATAAAAATTTGGGAATTTATGAATTTTGTGAATGTGTGAATTTGTGATCGTGGATTGGCAATTTTATGATTTGTGATAAATATTCAATTGGTATTGAAAATTGGAAATGGATGATAGTTTAAATTTAAGTTTAATTTATATTTAATTTTCATAGAGATTATGGAAATTTTTTTTTAATCGAAACGTAAGTCCTGATCTATTATTTTTAGTGGTGCATCTAGTCCCGCCACTGCCCGAGTTCAATGATAATCTTGGATCCGTCCCTATTTATCAATGTCTACTTGAAATCATTACTAGGAGAATCTAGTAACTAGAATTTTATTTTATTTTTAAATTCAATAGTTTTTCATATTCCGAATTTCCTTGTTTGACGTACTAAAGTAGTGTTATAAGTAAAAATTGTGCAATCCCAATTAACGGTATTTCTATCAGCTTTACCCTCTGCCTATTGCTATTATAAGCCCATTTTCAATCAGATCAAGGCCAGTTTGAGACTAATTTTAGGGTTCAACTTGTGATTGTTTGATAAGTTCAAGAAGAATTTACCATGCACAACTAACAGTCATCACAATCAACGTTACCACTGTTGGGAATTTATTTAAACATGTACAGCGAAAATAAAAATAATTTCAATTCCCACCAGAATTCATCTTTATATTTAGATAAGAACTGTGGTGAAGATTATACATTTTCTTGAATTTGCAAACTTGTTTGCGTTATCTTTGTTCTAGCAACTTGAATTTGCCTCCCTCAACTATTCAATTGTCTAGCCTCCAATGAATTTCACACAGAAAATAGACTGCAACTGCTAGAGTTTCTTCTCTTATGCTAGCAAGAATTATGAAAATCCCATGGATCTAAAACCATAGCCATGTATTTATATAAGCCCAAACGGGTTCGGCCTGGTCCGGTTCAATATTTAATTAATCCATTTAATTAAATCCGGTCCGTGAATTAATTAATCCAATTAATTAATTCGGGGCTATAAATAACCAATCCAATTAATTAATTTATCTAACGATTGTTAAATTAATTAATTGTCAAATTGCAATCTTCCAATTCTCTTTTGTGTGCGACCCATCAGGTTCCCGACCACGATGCCTAACGACGTGAAATATTATTTTGATCTAATCAAGACTGATAAATTAAAGACCCTTTTAATTTATCACAAACTCACACTCGTCGTCCCAGATTGACATCTAACAATATATCAGGGCAACACATGTGACGGAAAATGTCACGTAGTATGACAAAATCAAACCTGTTCGTTTACCATGAAACTATAATCCCTTCGTCAATATGATCCGATCAATTACGAGATATGAAAACGTGTCAATCTCGATTATCGATCATATCTTTCATTCTACTATTAAGTCAATATGAGTCGAAAACTCATTTTCGACTTATGTGTATACCTTGGCCTAGGATTTTGTTATTGACTTAATTGAACGAAATGCAGATCACAATCTCTTACTATCTAAGAGTGACGAATTCTCTATTGGTCATTCACAACTTTCATATGGTTCTTGACATACTCGAACGATGTCGTATTAATGGCCCTTGGTAGAGCAACATCCAACACCGTCAAAGCATGACTGTCCTCATACAAGGCACTATGATGACCTTAAGTCAAAGGACTAATTCCACTACCGAACGTTAGAGATTAACCACCGACACTCAGATAGTTATCCATGTTAATCTCTTAGCGGGTCTCCAATGTTTTGTTCTATAACAAAACATCCACGTGTTCATTTAAGTGTCATCACACTTCAACTTGTGAGATCGGCTACTTACTCCACAAGTAGGAAATGTCACACGTGATGGTCTATCTGTAATAACGATATCCGTATCGTTATTATTTACGACTACGGATTATTCAAGATCCAATCATACGTAATTTGTATCTCACAATCACAACTCCTTGTGATTAACAAATTAATTAAACTTGAATCTCGGACTCTATTATTTAATATTATTTATCAGAAAATTAATTTA